ACGATAATCAATTGCTTATAATATCTATATTGGTGGTAAGTTTCAAATGGGCAAGGTTGAAGCCAGACTTTATATTCAATCAGCGCCTTTATCCTTCAGCTCGAGGTCCGCAGGTAGGAGTATTTGTTTGATACCTACTTATTAAAAACCATCCAGTTCATGCTCCATGTCAGAACCGCGGAATCAATGTGGCGACTAACCCGTGACTCAGACAGTATCCAGTAGGTAGGAATGTCAGACTCTTACTGACTAAAAACCCTCCCGTTCCTTCTCTTGCTCTGAGCCGAGGCCGCGGTGCGTCATTGCGCTTACCCCGCAAACCCCGCTAGTATCCAGGAGATGCTGATTCAATACCAGTCAATCTGGATTTATTGAAAATATTGACTTACTCACATGAATGTAATGAAAAAGCTCAACTAGTTTTCTACTAGTCACGTCGGGACTCTTAATCATGAGCAGCGTGCGCGTCGATGTCGCCGTGAGTCGCTGTGAGTAAGTAAGTCATTATTTTTCAGAAATTATATGTCATATGTCTCATAATTGTTACTATTCAACAGTAGGTCATCAGAAGTTAGGTGAGGCATTTTACATTTTACACATAACCAATGACATAATGTTTTAAACCCTCATAATTATGAATAAAATAAAGCAACACAAATCGAGATGAACACTCATTTTAATTTCAATTAAATAGGAATGTTTACAATGTAGATTAACGAACACGACGTAACTTTACATTTAGGTATATCTACATACAATTAAATGACACTGTCAATTTGTTTATACATAACTTTGGTAATAGGTATAAGAACCAAGATGGAGTGACAATTTTCTCAATCGTTTAAAAGACAAATTTAATGTTACATTTAATAGTGTTATTTTAAAAATCTAGATCTTCTAATAGACAGTTATTTTACGTGGCAAAATGTGCACTATTTTATTAATATTTTTTATCTATACCTAATTCTATGGAAAGACGCAAAATCTTTTACAGTTTTATCAATGAACGTGAATGACTACTGACATACAAAATACGGTTTTTCCTCAATTGTTTTCACGCGATTCTATCATTGAAATAATCATTTCATAAACGCATTAATTATAATTTATTGCATATAATATAAAATTCTTACAGAATTATTCGCAAATCTCGTGTCAGTGTGGGTGTTTGACGAAACAATGGCGCTTTTATCGCTTATTGCTACTTTTATGACTATTTCATAAATGTAACCAAAATTTATTAGTTCGAATTTATTTATAGACAACATTATTTTAAAGGGATCTTTATGTGATTAGAATTAGATAAGCTTTTTATAAGACAAGCGGATCGTAGAGTTTCTTGGCATATTTACACGTAATTTCGCCTCCAAATAAGCAGACTGTTCAAGTCATGATAACCAACACCTTTAGAGTTACAAGAGCTTTTTTAGCCTTTTGGGAATAAAAATTAGGCCTACGGACTCATTTCGGCATTGTGTTAAGCCATCAGGCATCATTTTCTTCGAGCCTGCGAAACATGGCTCTGCAATGTGAGCCGTATCACTAGAGACGAAAACCTATTTTACTCTGCACTTAGTACGCTCTCAATTTCACTATACATAATATCGTGGTCACAATTACTAACTTTTAAACTTTCGCGTTTCATCTTAAGAACATTATATTTACGCGGGTATGCATATAAATATAATGATCTAGTTTCTGTACAAGATAGTTTTTAAACCGGTTCTACCAAAATGTTGCTAGCAAATTGGGTTTATTTTTATATTCGCAGTCAGTGTAGTTTGTAACTTCTGTTTAACGAGAGGTTGTTTGTAACAAGTGCAGTTTTAGCAGTGTATATAGTTGTATTTATACCAAGGTAAGCGAGTTATGAAGTATCTTTTTATGTAAGACTAGTATAAACCAGCGAATTCGCTCGCAGTAGCAGGGTAAAAAACAGTTTATGTCACTCACACTCAGTTCAGAAGTTCCCTAAGAGTGCTCTCTTTGCTACTATTCACATAAACACAAAAAAAATTAAACGTTCTACCAAAATCCACCACTGTTTTAATAACTAAAATATTTTATTTGCTGTATTGCTGCACTTAGAAGACCAGGCGAGAGCAGGAAGCGTTATCGCCCTTTGGGGAATAGTTACAGACTATAATCTATTTCTGTGGCAAATTTTATTGAGATCGGTAGTAGTTAACGTAAACAATAACATAAACCCATCCATACGTACATATACAAAATGCCCTTCAGTTCCAAGAATTGTAAATAATGAACAATAATAAAATATGTCAAAAGTCAAAGTAAAAAATCATTTATTTCAATTAGACCACAGTGGGCACTTTTGAACGTCAAGCAAGCAAAAAAGGAAAAAAGTATATAACAAGAGCTTTAAAATTAAGCGTGTCAGTCTGTCCGTCTGTCCTCTAGTGAAGCTATTTGCTCGTTCCAAAGTGTAGATTCCTATGGAGAAGAACGAGCAAGAAACTCCATGGCTACTCTTTTTCAATCAGTTTTACAATACATTTCTTTGTTACATCATTTAGTGAACGAGTATGAACGACCATAGTGCCCAAATAAAAGCAAGAAATCCTTTATTGCTTAATTAATACACAATAATATAATCAAAAATGCATAATTGTAAATAGGACTTGGAATTAAAATGAAATAATAATTTTCGACCTTCAACTCAGTTGTTAAACATGGTACTTACATGTACAACTGGTATTTAATTTTATGGATGTTTCTGGCGACAAAAAGTGCATGTATTTTAATCAAGAATTATTATAGGAAAATGGGCAGTCTGCATGGATGATATAATGATAATGATAAACGGCTGCCGCAGAACTTATCGCGTCGCAGCTAGCCCGAGAATCCCCGTATAGAACAAAAATTTGCGTGATTCACAAATTATCGGATGGTGATGGAGATGGAGGTGTGAAATGTATTTAAGGGAAATTGGAAATTGGTACGTGTAAACGCAATCATGATTCAGGAAAATAAAATTGCTACAGTATTTTTAATGGAAAACAATTAAAAAAATGATCACATATATTAATCTTAATTAAGCTGTGGAGGAATTTTAAATTAAAAAATAGAAATAAAATAATCTAAATACATATTATATTACATACGAAAATACGTTAATAGTTCGTTCTGAAGTAACAATGATAAAACGAGTGAGTCAATAAAATTTCTTATTTTGTAGTGGAAGTAATTAATGTACTAACCTCATTCTGTTAATGTTAACTGATATCAGTACCTGTACTTCATTTAAGTGAAGGAGAGCCATGCTTTGACACGAATGGGTCAGCTCGACCACAGTGATACCACGGCCTCACAGATAACCGATGTAAAAGAACTCTTACGTTGCAGTGTGTGAGTTACGGAGACCTCATCCCCAATCCCCAAACTCTTATATCCTATATATAAGGTCAAAGGGTGACAACGATTGCTTACCATCAGGTAATCAGTCTGCTCGTTTGTCGCCCTATAACATGAAAACCTCAACCTAACCTAAACTTAAATAACACTATAGAACTGAGGAATTTAATAGAAAAAATAAAATAAAAAAAAGAAATATACGAGCAAATCCGGGGTAAACCACTATTTAAAAAAAACTATCGTAATTTGTGTAATATAATTATGGTGATTCGCCATAAAAACGGATTAGTTTTTATTTTTGCAAAGATTATTGATACCACTTCTATTTAGGATTAACTTTTGAATTGAGGAAAAAACGCTGTCTATCCGCCCTTGAGCAAGTGCGGTGATAAATGCTAAAACCTTCTCCATGTGAGAAGAGGCCTTTGCTCAGCAGTGGGCACTTTAGGCTGATGATATGGTGTTAAGCCACGATCTCATACAAAACTCGTATTGAATTTGACTAGTTTGAAACAACCGGATTGTAGTAACTTGTACTTATTGCCATTCACGTCACATTAATAAACGGGAAAAGAATTCGCAATGTAATATTTTTCCATTATTTATTTGTATTTTATAGACTTAGGATCGATACAGTTATCGCACGGTCGCTCCTATAACCGATTTCTACAATTTTATTTGAATGATACGGTAATCGACTAACCGAAGATCCACTGCATAATCGAATCATAAAGATGAAATATTAAACATTAGGTACACTAAAAGCCATTTGACTACCCTTTTAATTAGGGGGTAATGCAAATTAGCCCTTCTATCAATTAAATTTAAATACAATTTATAACGCAAGCATTAGGCCTGAACTCTTGCACCTAATGGGCCATACTTCACTATGTTACATAACGCCTTATATACTTCGAAATGGTAGGTACATATCTGAAAGTCACGACTAAGTGAGTTAATAGATTTTAAACTCTATTACTAATACATACGGTTTAAAATCTATTAAATTGTGACGTCGAGACTTCAATACAACACTTACTAATATATATATATATATATATTGTCTATCTTTTAGTATAATATACGTACACATATATCATAATTTTGTTCTATTTCAGTGACTATTATAAAACAATAAAGCCATATATTAAACATTGCAATAAACCTTATCACGCTCTATCTGCACAGGAATGTCATCCAAATGACATATTAACAACGCTATTTCCACTTGAAATATGATACTTTTTATATAAGATACATTATAATGATAAAAATAAAACAAGGGTGGCTAGAAAGCTGCCAAATTATCAACCAATATCACTGAAAAATTCAAATTAGACTATGAAAGAGATAACAAAGGTTTTATTTATTCAAACGCACACCAAGTGACATCATCCAGACTATTACACACTCGATTGTACGCACAAGTTTTCAATTCATATAATCATAACTAAAAACCTATTATGTACCTTGTAAGTTTATATAATAGAGAAAAACATAGTAGGGAAAGGGAAACTTAGATTTTGTTACAAGAAATTTATGTATAATTAATCACCAATACATTTCAAACAAAGGTGGTGATCAATCGTACTTAGTCTGCAGAGGCCTTGGCACAGTGGTTACAGTAATTATTATAGACGGTTAAACAAGATAAAATATATTTAAACATTTGAAATTACCTCCTTCACTAAGTTCAGGATTGTGTTAATATTTTGAATTTATAAACTACAATCTACGTAATATTTGTATCTAATTAGATACGTATAATCTTATCTGTGACACCCCTACAGCCTCCATGGCCCACCGTGCGCAAGAGTGTAATCACAAGCATATACACACGCGCCGCAGTGTGAGGTCAATGCACGCTTACTCTTAATGTCATAAGAATTTAATTGAGCTCCGTTTGACAACTTTTAATTATGACCAGCCCTATAATTGATTAAAAACAAAACAGTGAATTCATCCCACGTTTTTCAACATATCACAATATTAAAATTAAAATTCGTAACAACATATAAAAAGCTTATTTAAATATCATATAATATAAAACAAATCATCTAATCTTAAAGGGCCAGTCTATCATGAGTTGCGCAGCTTGATAAGTCCGTGGTCTTCTTTAGTCTTTTCAGTAGACCGCGGTCTACTTGAGGTCCATGTCATCTCCAAGTAGGTCTTCGCACTCTTTCTCCCATTGTTTGTCGTCCCCGGCTTTGTCTGCTACCACCTCGTATTCATTGAGCTCGGCTTCAAGCTCTTTCTCCCATTGCTCTAAAAACAGGTCAATTAGTAACAAGAAGTTAGTAAATATTTCGAAAGTATCCGCAAAATTATTAGCATTTTACTTACTTAAAACAATAGTTTCGCAAAAAAAAATCTTGGGAATCAAATTCCCAATCAAAAATTACCTAAGTTCTTATACAAGAAATGCAGAAGACAGTAGACTTTTTTAAGCGCCATCAAATACTGATGTTTAAAAACCTAAATATATTTAAATCTCTACAATCTAATTTGAATCTAATGCACTTTTTGTTAAGTAGCTAATTCAAATATTATTTTAGCAATCTATCATTTTGAGTAAATATTGACAAATACGCTATTGTTATAACAAAAGATAGCTTAAGATATCTTCATGATCCCTTATGATGACCAGTATATTGTATCACTCACGCTAACTTAGCAGTATTTTATCTTAACATATAAATACAAATGTCTCGTCATAACAGATATCTACTCGATTCGATAACATCGATATGTTTATGTGATAACGCAACATTAAAATAAATCAGCTTTTATTTATTTTGTGTTTATGTTGCATTACATCAACCTTGGTTGGCACTTGCATTTTTTATACTTACTCCTTTCTGGTAAAATAAATCGATGTTTCAATATTTAGACCATTAACTTTATTATAAAAAGACTGGTCTTTTCAAAAGAACAGGCACTATCTACGATTAAAATCTAAAATAACAACACCAATATTATTTTAGAATAATATAATTATTTCAATTCATAATAACTAACTATAAATGCCAATTTTTCATTGTTTAACTATATGTCGTAATTTTTCTCTAACATTTGTTTGAGTGTCGAAGAATATAATCATATACTGTCGCTAGTTACATGAGCCGCATGTTCGGAGGTCCTACGGGGAGAGAGGGCTACGCCACTCCGAAACAGAAACAAAGTCGCAAATACACACATATAGCCAAAATATTTAGTATTTTATCAGGACTATGATTAAATGGACACCGAATTACGATTATAATCACTTCTAATTTATTGCTCAACAGTTTCAGTGGGTTTGCGAGAGGCTTGGCGTTGAAATAAATACAAAAAACACTTCGAATTATTTGAGGTGTTTTAAATGCTTTCATTTGGAAGTAAATAAATCAACTTTGGATATTAAGGGTCATTTTAGAGTCATTTAATATGACGTTAAGGCCGTACACTCGTTGAAAATGCATAAAGGAGATCTGAGCCAACGTCAAGCCTCCAGCGTCAACGCAAATACAAAGAAACCCGGGCGACAGCATACTAGGCCAGTAGTGAATCGTTTCAACGTTCAAACTCTATCATAAATGAGTCCACCTAGTTCTACACAACTTTAATAACATTGGAATATTCTCCTGATTAATATAATACCTAACGCTAATTGTAAATAATTACAAAACAAATTGGGAAGAGGTTGTGTTGTCAGTAAATGCTCCAAATATTTGACGGCAGTTTCTGTGGAAGTAATTGACTGTCACCCATGAGTGATATGTCGGCTGTCAGGGTTCCTGCTTTCATATTAATTACAATCTTACTCTTAATCAGTAGATGATCAACCATACCAATAATACCCTTCTCAATCAAGACCTTTATGTATTCGTGTGTAAGGTCCATTGTCACTTGCACGTCCAATTTGTTTTAAAACCTTAAGTACGATGAAATTTCCGAAGGCTGACAACACAAGTATATGTACAAAAAGATTTAAAGTTTCAACATTGCTACGGAGAACACAAGAAGGCAGAGAAATCAAAACGCCAAGAGGTAACGACCAACTTTGAGAAATATGTAAGCGAATAGATAAATAAAACACAAGACAATCAAGCAATAATAGACCATAAAGCTCAAGTAAAAGGGGTGATATACAGGTAGCAATGTCAAAACCTGAACAATATATACTTACATTAAACGCTACTGAGCCGAATTAATGAACTGTGTGACATTACCTGCTATATAACCTTAGTCAATACTTACACATATGTAACATTTAGTAGACATTAAAATAGGTTCCATTGAGAAAACTTTGATTTTTATTCTTTTATAGACAAGTATACAATTCAACCATAGTGATCTTTAAGTCAATAGCGTGTACAGGGGAGCTACCCGCCTGAACGATGCTGCCGGCTATTGCCATACAGACCAGCGTGCTACCAGTGACACAACAGATATTATAAATAAATACATGGTTATATATACAGTTATTATAGTCCTTATTACAAGGACAGAAAAGCTATATTGTCATATAACATTCACTTTATATATATACGACACACGAGATAACAACAAGGATGAAGATATGACACAGTGATATATCTTTTAGAGTTCAAATAATAATGTGAACAGCGATAAATTCTATAGAAGTAATAACGTTTAAAATTATATATATATTAATGTGTGAAAGGATTAACAGTGACCTGGGCTTGACATAATAATGCCATGGGGCGACAAGTCGACGTAACGTAGCTATAGGAGAGTTACAGAGCTCTGGTTGAATGCCAAGTTCAGTAGGGAGTAGTGCTAATTCTACTGTACCATGTGCGTACCCACTAGCTATCGTGATGGCATTATTTTATCAAGATCAAACAATTCTCATGAAGATAATAGCGTAGTACATTCATTGATGCAAGCATCGTATCCACTAGACAAATACTGTTCTATACATTACCCTATCTCTTTACAGAGACCTTTCCAACGGTCTAGATGTCTAGAAACTTCGAGCCTATGATACTCATACTCATAATCAATGGTAACATGAATGGATGATTACAATAATATTAAGTTTTCAATATATTAGTGGTAGTAACAAGAAATGTTGGAGAGTACACTATTTCCCTTAGTCAATATCTAGCTAGACCATATTTAGTGAATAATATATAGAACAGTGGTGTTACTGCATGGTGGTGCTGCGGGCCACACCTCCTTTAAGCTGCATTCCAGGGAGAGAGAAAGATGCGTTTAGCAAAAACATATTCATTGAGTACCATTATATATTAGTGGGTAATGCTTATGGAGTATTGATAACGACTGTATTTGAGCTTCTGCTATCGATATAAAAGGGATTTTCCGTGTTGTTAATAAGGATTGTTTCATTAAAAAGTGTAGCCAGACAAATATTTACATAAACAGAGCATGCAATGCAACATATTCCTCAAAGTTGGTACCGGGGCGGACGAGAATGTAATCGCGATGTCATTATTAGATCTAGCGGAACGATATATGTGAAAAACGAAATAAAATAACTAAATAAAATGGCTATGTGTGTGCGTGAAACCTTAAAGTAATTAATAAAATAATAAAAAATAATCCATTTTTGAAATTTAAATCTTCCCTTCGAAGACTTGTAATAACATTTGTGTTATATAAATCAATAAGTGTTGAACAAAATATTGTTGGAATAATCTAAACAAATCATGTCTTACCATCTTCATTCTCTCTATCGACTTTCAAAGACTTTATTCGTTGCTTGACGTCATCGATCATCTCTTGTGATGATTTCTCATTGACTATCAGATTGTCGCTTGTCGATTTATCGTCGTCTGATGGGGGAACAACATAAAAAAAGGAAATAATAAAAACAAAATCGAAATTAACGAAGGGAAATGAAAAACTTAAGACAGGACTATGGCGTTATGATTTGTAATGAGTCTACTGATAGTTCTAACTTTATTAGATTTAAAAATGGCTATCAATGTATTTTAGTTTTAATTCATGAAACAGAGACAGGATAAATAGACAATTATCTTTGTCATGTAAACTTTTTAAAAAAGGTAACCATGGTATTTGTTGTCATTTTGACACAATTTTATGAATTTTATTTTTATAATAGCAAACAGCTTTGTTTTAACTTTTAAAGAATGTCTATTTAATTCAGCTTTCTCTTTAAGAATAAGTTGTAGTCATGATCATTTTGATGAGGAAAATGATAAAGATATGGTTTGACAGTGTGAGTGATAGTTAGTGTCTGGTCATCATACCCTGGGAATCCTCGGCGCTGCTTTGGCGTCCAGCAGCCGCGTCAGCCTCGTTAGCCTGGCAGATCAGCGACATGCGGTAGAAATAGTTTCGCCAGAAATTCTCCTCCGTGATTCTGAAAACATTTTCAAATCACCGATAAATATTTAGCCAAGGTTAATTAATACCCTAATTGGGAATTTAAATAGTTGTCAAACATTTCAAATATTCGATACTTTGGCAACAGTTTTCTGCTAATTTTGTACGGTGTTGTGAAGACATATTTTTAACGATAAATTAAACTTATTTTATTTTTAATTAAGCTAGCTAAAGAATACTACGTATAGAATCAATATAGTGTCAGATACGTTATTTTGAAGTGTTGTTTCATCATCATCATCATCAGCCTGATTTCGACCACTGCTGGACATAGGCCTCCCCAATTACACATTACTTTGAACAGACGAACTTATTTATTTTTGACTAATTGAAATACTAAATTAAACCACTATATAAGAATGATGTAACTTTTAGCTACCTACATCATTATTAAATAAGTTTTTTCAACGCCAAAATTGGGTAACTAGAATCTGAAAATGCGATAATTTTGCGCCTAAGCACATAAGTAAAACAATAGAAACGATTACTAAAAATAAACACCAAACATAAAATATGCTTCGATTAGATTTTACGTCAAATGCCAAATTTGGTAAATCCATCACGCATCAAAGTTTTAGTGATAATAACAAATATATACTATATCAAATAAAGCCTTATTAATTCGATGGTCGTTGGCCTATCTCCGACGATATCCTATCTCTTTTTCTACCACACCTTGTCAGACTGCCGGTGATAAGGTCGTGCGTAGCCCCTTACACCGTACATTCACTAGTAAGCCGTGTCACTGTACGTTTGTACGTACATTTCTGTTTTTACTTTATATGTATAGAATAGACTGTGACTTTGGCTGGGTGGATTTGGATTGTGTTGGTTTTAGATTGTGAGTTATATGTTAAATCAATTACGGACAATGTTACTTTACTAGGATATGTTTTATTAATTAATAAAAGCAGTTTTTACACTTTTGGTCTAACAAACAATCTGTATTTACATGCCCAAGTGAAGTCATAGCATTAGTTTAAAGTCTCTACAGCTAGGTACAGACCTAACCCAACGATAGACGTATTGAAGTATTGCTTGTTTATTTGAAATTTCTTTTTTAGTATGTGTACTCTTTCAGTCACTCACGTATTTTTTGTTTAAACCGATTTGGTATAAAAATAAATCATCTACAGTTTATTATCTTACATTTAATTATGTTATGTTCCTTTCTAAGGACTGTAGGAAGAGATTCCAAATTGGAATACCGTACCTATGTACCTCTGTTTCTCTATTCGTTTCCCTATTTACTATATGTGTGATGTGCATCACTAATAAATAAATAAGTAATAGTCGCATTTTAAATCCAGACAGTCCTTCTTACACAATTAACGTATATACTTCGGTATCATACAAATAGATGAAGGAAAAGTATGAAACACGATTTTCCGGATCGTTTGCACTCAATGACGTCGAGAACATTAGAACGCTATACTAGTTTTGTTTACATTGTACTAGTTTCTGCCAGAAAGTTTGCCCTCAACTATAAGAAAAAGTTACCTATGTGATATTCAAGACTATAATCTATCTTCGAGCCAAATATCATTGAAGTCCATTCAGTAGTTTTTACGCGAAAGAGTAACAAACAAACACAAACATCGTGTAGGGCGCCATCCAGGTATGTGGACTGACGATATCCGTAGGGCACTGGTTTTTTTTTTATGTAATAATTCGGCAAACAAGCAGACGGATTACCTGATGGTAAGCAATCAACGCCGCCCATGGACACCCACAACGGAGGAGTTACGGGTGCGTTGCCGATCTTTCAGGGATTACGGATTTGGGAGTATAGGGATTGGGGAAGGGTCCGGGAAGGGGAAGAATTGGGCCTCCGGTAACCTGGTTGAATGAGAAGAGCTGAACATCGAGCTCAGTGGCGTGCAATTAGAAAGACCTATGTTCAGCAGCGAACAGAATTAGGCTGATTATGATGATGAGTAGTAACAAACATTCATCCATACATATAAACTTTCGCGTTTACTATATTGAGTAAGATTGTGTGTGTAGTGACGAAACAATATCGGTTATCAATGAATATGGAGCCATATAACATTACAAATATTATCGCGGTCAGATAACTGTGTAAGCTCTCTTGTATCAAAGTATCTCGTGTCTTTCATTAGTTTGCAACTGTTACAATCGGGTGCAGCTCCTTATTCGGGAGGCGAGGAAGGTAAGGTTCAATTTTATTTACATAAACATATAAAAATTCGCGATATTCTATACTAACTAACCCGGCAGCAAACTTTGCACCCCCTCAAATATTAACAAATAATTTTCTTATTAAATTTTCCTGACCTTTTTAAACCTTCCCTGTATATCCAGGAACATGTCAGTCTAGCATTTATCGAGTTTTAGCGAAACTAACGAACAGCATTTCATTTCATTTCTATTAATAAGATTTTGTTAGGATTGTAATATTTTCAATGATTAAATTAACATAATACCTATTCTCTCTAGATGACTTTAATTTTCCCAGTTAACTAACTTTAAGTTCACCTACTTCGTTTGAACTTAAAGAAGCTTCAGACTTTAGACTTCTAAGTTTGTTTCGGCGATTCTTCTTACGCGTGTAGTCTGCAACGATATTCGACTTAATAGAGAGATAGCAGCTAATGTTACGCTAAATTATATGGTTTTTAATGAAGCCATAATTTTATGTAGTCATTGGTTGGATTAGTAGCCAAACGATGGTTACAGTCTTTATACGAATCTTTATATAACTATGCAGATTGCACATTAAGACTTTATTTAAATATATCATACTCAACCCAAATATGTGAACAATTTAGTACCACAATTAATTAAAAAGTAATGAAAAAAATATTTTAAAACGTATCAAGTGATTATTTATTGACCGCGGCATATCAATTTCAATAAGTAATTTAAAACATAAAACATATTACGGCATTACAAAGAAATAAAAAACCAGTTTATATACACGGATTTAAATTCACACGTTTTTACAAAAAATCTTATTCAAATTTATGATGTATTCTATTATCATACTAAAATAAAAAAATATATGAACACAATAATATTGTTAAAATAGTCAGTAAGTGAATGGTTGGTTTGCGAACAACACGATAATATTGTATCTTATATAAGTGACAGTTGTATGTCTTCTATCTAAAAATACCAAAAGAAATCGAGTACTGTATTTATAGTTGTCAAGGTATGTTTTTATAATCAACTATTTAATTTCAACTATTAAATCATATAGTCGTATAGTCGTATTTATTAACTTCTGATAATCTAGCCAGTTTATTGCTTCCTATGTTTTGCGATACATCTTGATATTTTTATTTTCGGAATTACAATTTTTTTTCTAGTTTTAGTAGTAGTAGTAAAGTAAAGTAAAGTAGTAGTAGTAAGTAGGATTTGCTTATTTAATTTTGACATACATAATACAAATTAAAATGTTTGTGTACTGCTGCGGCCGGCAACAATTTTTTGTGTGATCTACAAATTGTAGTCCTACATTTTGAACATAAACAAAATGGGAATTTTTGTGATTTGAATAAAAGATGTTATAATTATCTTGTTTTGTTAGACATGTTACTTGTTACAGACACATTACATCCATGACATTTTTTACTCTATTACCTTTTTTATTATAGGGTTGGCAACATACTAAACTAACTAAAAGTAGTGTTATTTTATCTAGTAGTATGATATTTTAATCGATATTACAAGAGGATTGTAAGGCTTTCTGTTTGTTTTGTACTTTGTACTTTTACTCGAATGTGACATAGGGTTCTTTTTATAAAACAATAACAAAACAGCTATCACTACTTCATCGCGAATCGCTCAAGTAGTTTCAGAGATAGCCCCCCGTGTCTAATCTAACAAAAACAATGTGACGTCACTTGTCAATAGTCATCCACTATCTAATATCTTGTCTGTCTATACGTATTAGATAATAAATAACGAATACTATCGTATCTTATGTATTACGATCACGTGTCATTCTCATTCATTTTTTTAATGGAATAGAAGAAAAAAGTTTAAGGATTTATTTTGTGACAAAAATAATCGTCAAAACTGTTCTGACGCAGATGTGTATAGACTGATTCACATTTCCATAACATTAATTTCAATGTCAGTGGCGATATGTACAGACTTTCGTTTTTAAGATACTATACTAACTACCAGTACTCTAAGTTTGAGCAGTCACAGGCTATGGAATCCAATGAATCTGTCAAAGATAGGAATACTGACTAAATGATAATTATTATTATTTCTCTTCTGCTCTTCTTATGTGTATTACCTAAGAATTGAGTAGTGTAATTGGTTTTGTACCGTACTATTCAAACAAATGTATACTTACCAATACTTATAATCTATACTAATATTATAAAGAGGTAAAATTTGTAAGTTTGTATGTAGGGGGTAATCTTTGGAACCGCTGGTCTGATTTCCAAAATTCTTTCACTGGTAGATAGCTACAATGTTTCTGAGTACTATAGGCTATAAAACATCATGCTATGATTAAATGGAGCCGAGCAGCGGGTGAAACCGCGCGAGAGTAGCTTGTATAATGTTACAAAGCTGAAGAGTTTGTTTGTTTGAACGCTCTAATCTCCGGAACTACTGGTTCGAATTGAACAATTCTTTTTGTGTTTATTAGTCCATTTATCAAGGAAGGCTATAGGCTATAAAACATCACGCTATCATCTTTACTTTTCTTTATTTCCTTCTCATCAGACTACTTCCAATTATTTCTATGCTAACCTCTTTCTAATAAAAGGGTATTTAAATAGTGACTTACACTTTTGGCACAAGATCGAAGCGCATCTTCTCGAGGTTGGGATCCTCGCCCATGATGGCCACGGCCACTGGGTACATCTTGTCGTAATCGAAATCGAATTCTACGCCAGCTGGAGGAGCGCGAACAAAGTTCCGTCGGTCCTGGAAAGTTGAGAGCATTTCAATTAACAAATGACATCAAAACCATATACATTATATGTCACTTTAAACGCAGTATGGTCATTGGTCAATGTTCAGCTCCTGCAGTACATTCATTAGTTTATTTCAAGCTATTGCAGTATGGCCATTCGTCAATATCTAGCTCAGACGACGTAACTGTTAAAGAGTGCTAACATTTCTTACTTAAACCCATTTTACCTCTCATTCTACTAGTCACAGATCGAAGTGTTGCATAACATTAAAAATGGGACATACGACAGAATCGCTTGTTTTTTTAAACATAAAATGTAAAAAGTTAATACAAAATAAACGAGGAACATTTGCCACAAACATGGAAACACGTGTCGAGAACACACAGCTAACACGTCAAAAGTTTGCAAAGTTTTGATGAGGATAAACCTGTCATCATCATCATAACCATGACACCAGATCCACGTACAGATAAGAAAGTATCCAATTAGTAAAAAATAAAATATAAGTAGGAACACAATTGATCGAAATTATCTTTTGAAAACTTTTAACTTGAATTAGCTGTAGAAGCTTTTAAACACTGAGATAAATTTACAAATATTCTTCGAGAATTCTAAATAAATTAAATGAAATCAAAGGCTATAATCAAAACCCTTTCTATAGCTTGTTGAGACAAGAAAGAACTATAGTGAAACGTGATTTTGAAGATGAAAAATGTTCGCGAAATGTATAAATAGTTTAAAATGAAGACTGAAGAATATGAATATGAACACGATCTCAAAAAAAAAAACGAATCTGTTATCTGGTTTAGTCCCAATGTGCGATCTTAAAACTTGCCATAGAATGAATATCAAATTCTCATTTTTTTACATAGAAGCGTATTAATTGGTGAAAAATACTCACAGTAGACAGGGAGAGGCACTCCTCCTTGAGCGCGGCCTCGTTGGGGGCACCCACCCAGGGAGGCACGGCGGCGGCACTGCCACGGCCTTCCTGCCCCTTGATGAATGCATCTTGTTCACGGTTGAACTCGCCCAAGATGCTCTGCGAGACAAAGAAAATAAAACATGAGTAAAAAAATATCAAAAAAGTAATCCTGTAGCTATAATGTGCTTTAAAAAGTGAAATGTGCCTTAATTTTTGAATTTCACCGAGTTTTATTTTGACATTTAAGTACTTGTTTTATCTTTTGACTAAGATTTTATTAGTGTAGTTTTTTAAATCCTGTAATAGATATGGTTTTGACTTTACAATCTTTAATAAATGAATATTAACATTTATACGCTTATTGGCCAAGCATAGAGAACCAACAAAAATGCAACATCTTACAATCATGTGTATCTGTACCTATGTTTACAAATAAGTTAATTTGAATCTGAATCCAAATATCGCACGAATTATCTGTAAGTGTGAACTTTTGTTTGTAAAGGAAACCGAAAAAGTACCGATAGCGCTTTAAAAAAAAAACGTATGTTCACCAAATATAGATTACATACAAATATAGCAATAAACTGATTAACTTATATTAGTGTGATTTATTTGTGGAATTGAACGTAATACTTGTAATAATTATTGATATGGACAATTGCTTGGATTATGTAAACTTTTGTTTGATAAAGGAAGAAATGTACAAGTTTATTGAACGAAGAGAATATTCTGCCGACATAGTTTTGCAAAAAATTTTATAAACATTTTGCCTGTATGACTACGTGGCTTGTAAAAAAAATATGGCAATTTAAAAAAAAACACGGAAGCTACGACGTGACCATTGTATCCTCGCGGAAATATAAAAATAATTAATAATTGATCCAATGTTGTTTTCCGGATTATTTTTGTTACCATTTCAGGCATATTTTTATTGCAAAATTGCCTGCTTCAAGTGTTCTATTTGATGTTTTTTTGTCCTGTATAAGTATTCTATTAGATTCGATTTGATTTAGATGATAATTTAGAACCTTCTTCGTGTGAGAAGAGGCCTTTGCTCAGCAGTGGGCACTTATATGTTGATGACAATGTATTCTATTGGGTGTTTAAAACATTTAATATGGCAGAAAGAAAGAAAATCATGAACTGGTAACGTTAAAAATATTCACCTAATAAGAATGGTAGCACGTGAAATCCTTTATCTACTCCGTAAGAGATAACGTCTTGTTTATATAAATTGTTAACCTTCAAATTTGTACAATAGCAAAGCACTTTATAAATAATCCACTAAATCTTAAATATCTCAGTAATCTGACGGCAGGGTGTTCATCTTACTGTACTGATAAGTAGAGGAACCCAATTTGCGTTTTATCTTTTTTTCTGACATAACTTCAAAAGACAATAATTTATCTGTTTACCTAAAAAAGATATCAAGTACTCGTAATAAATCTTCAACGAAAACACGTGCCACGTTTATTTTCCAAATTTCTCTTTTATCATAAACGAATTTAAATAAATCTAGGTACGATTAATAAAAATGACAAACTTTACTATAAGAATTCGAAAATAAACTCAAACTAGATATAAACGAGTTAAGTTAATTAAAAATATAAAATAAATCTTAGGGGATGCCAAGTTATTTCACCGTTATATTACTGCAGCTGAAAAATAAATTTCAGTTGGCAAAAATCCAGCGCAAGCAACTTTTTTAATAGCAACTATCAAAACTTGGTTCAGCTTGTATTTATTACTTGACTGGTTCAATTATATCTTCTTTGCCAATAAATTCGTTAAACAAAATTCTATTTTCTCGCTTAAGGTAAAAGTAATTTTATTGAACCGAACTGTTTGAATAATAAATCAAAGGGTGATTTATTAGGTCACACAGTATTATTGTTTACTGCAAAGTTTATTTTCATACATTTAATATTATAATTGATTGGTCTGACTCGTAACTTATGATCATTACTGCATCTTTATAAAAGACCTGACACACTAACCGACATATTATATTTTATAATAATGTAAGACCGTAATAATTTCATGCTAAGACCAACATACATATTCCCTTTTGTTGCATGATAAACAGTAATTTAACGTAATAAATCAAGTAGTAAATACTCCATTATTTATGCCACATAATTTGTTTTCACCACTCCCATTAAAATTATACCATAACTTAAATTATTCCGTAAAATGAAAATTAAATATTAACGTTGCTAATTATGTTTGTTGCAGATTTGTACAAGCCGAAAACGTCCATCAATCTTTGCAATTATATAATCTTGGATGATAACGCTGATACTTAAACTACTGACACTACAACAGAATCCGTTCTCAAACAATTGTTACATTCAATCTGCAGCATACTTAAGATAACAGCTAATACTGCTGTGATTGCCACAGTAGTACGCTTAACTCGTCTAGATTATGTCTACTGCGACGTAACAAAGAATTAATAGCAAGAAATTAATATAGTAACAAATATGGATGCGGAATCAAATACAAAGTCAGACACAAAGGATCTTAAAATGGAGAAGATGCCTAAAGCGAGCCAAGAAGAGACAGACAAGTTGGTGAAAGCGATAGGACAATTTGGAAAATGGCAACTAATGTTATGGCTACTGATAGCTTCGCCAATAAAGATCTCAGCGGCATGGCAGCAACTAGGGATAGTGTTCATAGCACCCGCTACATCTTTCATGTGTGAACAAACGAATCTTACGAATACCATAGAAATGAACACGTGCTATAGTGATTGTGTCAGTTATAAATATTACACGGACTTCAAAAACACCATCATTTCCCAGTTTGGGCTGATCTGCGACAAAGCTTGGTTGTCGAACTTCACGCAGACTATTTGTATGTTCGGGGTCCTGATGGGAAGTATCATCTTTGGATTTATAGCTGATCGGTGAGTAATTGTTAACAAACCGTTGTAAGAATTTTGCACTTACACTGTATTTATTTGGAATTAATTTAATTACAGATATGGAAGACGTCCAGCGCTGCTAATATCTTGCATGCTTCTACTAGTGACCTCAATTGGAGAGGCGTTCTGTAAAATTTATTGGCTATTCACTGCAGTCCGTTTCTTCATAGGATTAGCCACTGCAGGCACAATGCTCTGTTCCTTTATCCTAATGATGGAAATCATCGGGCCAATGAAAAGAGAGCTCATGAACTGCCTCTGTGCCCTACCAATGCCTGTCGGACAAATGCTAATGCCACTGTTCGCCTACTTCTTAAGATCTTGGGATAACTTCTGCTTAGGTGTTGGAATCCCCCACGTTTTGTACCTGGCATATTTTTTCATATTACCCGAATCTCCAAAGTGGTTAATTTCCGTGGGTAGGCTTGAAGAAGCAAGTAAAGTTATGACACAAGCTGCTAAATGGTATGTATTGTTGTTTTAATTATTTATTTAAAATTCAACATTTTTATTTTATTATACATTATAACAAATCTGTCTTATTTCAGGAATAACCTTCCAACGGATAACATGTTAGACGTCGCCAAGAGTATTGCCAGTGAAAAGGTGAACTCGAACGAGCCCATTAGGAAGGCCACCTACTTAGACCTGCTAAAGACCAAAGTGCTCAGGATCAACATCTTTGGTTCCTGTATGATCTGGTTTGTGCTTGGTATCAGTTACTATGGCAGCAACCAATACATTGGACAGACCAGTTCCAACGTCTTCATTTCTGTTCTTTTGGCTGGAGTATTGCAGGTAATTAAAGTTATTTATTTTCGTGTTACGTTTTGCAGAGCTAAGCTGCATGTATGACTTAATTATAATTATTAGATTACCAAGATAAAGAATGATTGTTTGACAAACTATCAAGGTAGACGTGATGAATATAATCCCAAGAAAATCTAACTTCCATTTTCCTTAAAATAAAAAATATAAGCCATTATATTATATTATTCTTAGATATAAATTTATTTTATCTATATAATACAATTTTGCCATTCGCATGTCCATTAAAATAATAATGCGGCTAATAGCTTTTTGCAATTATGATTTCATCGTTATCAAAATGGTTTACCACAAAAGTGGATGGTTCTACAATAAAGTTGCACTAATGCAAGGTTATTTTTTATGCATATATTTCCATACTCCAATTGAACTTTTCAGATTCCTGGTATCTTGTTGAGTGGTTTTCTCTGCCGTTACTTCGGGAGGAAGATCACAATGATCAGCTTCCTGATCGTGTGTGGAGGGAGCAATGCTTTTCTGGTGGTCCCCGAAGACTGGTTCGCCGTGAGACTGACCATGGGTGCTATCGGTGTAGGATGTGCTTCAGGAGCTTTCGCTACCATGTAAGTTTCTTTGTTGATATGTTCATTGTGAACGTTAATTTGCTTGTTAAATTTTTAAAACGAAATTAATCGTTTGATTTTGGTATAATTAACGTAAGGTAACATAACTTGAATTAATTGGCGAAAATTGACTAATACGATATACCTACATATTAGGAACAAATATATAAGTACTAAAACCATTTCCTCTAATTTACTGTTCTTCGCATTTAGAATTTTTTTAAGTATTTCTCAAATTTGTTTTCGATAAATCCTTAACGTTTTCTTCTCATCTTCCAGGTATATGTACACAACAGAAATGTTCCCAACGGTAGCCCGCAACATGGCTATGGGAGCCTCATCCACTGTCTCCCGAGTCGGTTCCATGATAGCTCCATACGTGGCGGGCATGACCATCATTGCTGCGTGGCTACCACCAGTGGCTTTTGCCATAGTTCCTATAGTGGGAGCATTAACCTGCTACTTCTTGCCTGAGACGAGAGGCAAGACACTGTCAGATCATTTATCTTAGTGCATCGTGAGAGTGCTTTGTACTTGTCAATTGTATTGTCTTCAGTGTTTATTTATTAACCTTTAGCAAATGGATAGGGTCGTGATATTTTTGTAAATATGTATGTTACTCTCTAGCTTTAATTTGTAATTATTAGTCGTAATTTGATAATGTTTATAAATAAAATCATAATTATACTCTTTTTATAATACGTATAAACATATTATTTTGTTGATAATTCACATCCGCATTGAATTAAATGGTTCATTGCAAATATCGATTTTATCAAAAGAACACAATTTATCGGTTCAACGAGCCAAAATTATCGATTTGTTCGCAGATTATATGGAATGTTAAACAAGATGTTATATGTCAAACAATGTTCACGGTTCCTTAGTAAACAGGGAGGGAAATTAATATGCCATTAATATTAAACAAGGTCTCGAATATGAGTGACGTTAATTGATATATCACAACATAGTAGATGTTTATTGATGTTTTCTTAGAATGGTACGCAATTAATCAGGGGAAAATATCTCAATCTTTGAAAAAACATTAAATCTACGAAGTTGTTCCCAAATATAAAATGATAAAAAATGTTTAGAGCCTTTTCAAAAACAACAAAAGTGACATGTAAAAACAGGCACTTTCTTCTGCTTCAACACATGTAAAAAAATCACAAAAATAAAATTACCATAACGCTATCTACTTAAACTTTACTCTTTCAAAAATAAAATAACGCAAAAATAAACGAACAATCGCAAATTTTCTACTGAATATTACGATATACGAGAAAAATAAATTAACGAATGTATGATAAATCGAAAACAAAGTTTTAATACTATTTACAGGGGGAAAGTTACATAACAAAAGCTATAAAACAAATTAAATTCCACATTAACACCTACAGAGGCGAGACGGGGTGGGGTACGTTGGGGAGGGGTTGAGTTCGTTTGTGAGAGAACTGGGTCAACTTTGAACACAATTTATTATTGTTACGGTAAGGCTGAACAATTATGTAATGAAAGGAAATTGTATGAGCTATACGAAATTAGAATTTAGCATGCCTACCTAATGTCAGTCTCAAAGGTTTTTTCCTGTTATCTACTATGATTTGGCAACAACGCCGAAAATAGTATAAGTATGGGAGAGTAATGCTTCGACACGAATGGGTCGGCTCGACCGGAGTGATACCACGGCCTCACAGAAAACCGGCGTGAAACAACCACAGCTTTATGTTTCACTGTGTGAGTGAGGTTACCGGAGGCCCAATCCTTCCCTTTCCCAAATCTCTCTTTAACCCTAAATCTCCAAATTTCTAATCCCTAAACGGTCGGCAACGCACTCGTAACTGCTCCTTTGCGGGTGTCCATGGGCGGCGCTGATTGCTTACCATCAGGTAAACCGTCTGCTCATTTACCGACCAATTAAATAAAAACATAAAAAAAAGAATAGCGATTTTTCACTAAAACTTCTAAGGCGTTTTTACGATATACTATGTTTTCCTTTACACTACTCTTTTTTTTTCATAAATTAGAAACCAGGACCAAAATTCTATGCCACTATTCCACCGAAATGCCTAGTAAAAAACCAGTCGACCAGATATAACTAAACCTTTTCTTTTAAACCGTATTGATGATCGGTATTATAACATACCAACACATTTAAAAACGATTTATAAATTACCTCACATGACAAATCAAATCCTTATTTTTTCCCCAAATGAGATCATTAAGCCTACACGACGTTTCATAAAGCTGGAAACCAATTGATAAAACATCAAAGAAATCAAGAGTCATTAAATAAAACCTCGAAGGAACCCGGAAGGTCGAAGCCATAGAATATTCATAAGCCTTATAAAACAGTATCAGACAAAAATATTCATGAGAAGGACTAAGATTGTCTAGTTTGTTAAGAGTGTCATAAAGGAGACAGTTGCCACGCCTCGTAAAAACGTCGGCTTGATAAAGAATAAAAGGACTTGACAGGAAAAACAAGGTTTTAAACAAAACCACACCAAACACAAACATTAATGCGGAATGTTTGCGGGGACACCGAACATTGCCAATTTATTATGGACGGTAATTACTTTTGCAATTAATTTTCATTTTCACGAAATATAATTACTTTCATGAAAGAGTGATTGCGTTGTCGTTTTATTCTTTTCTGTGGTTTTCATTTTTATCATGTTCATACAACTCGACGTTATTTTGCTTTTCAGCGCTTTTTCTTAATCCTCTATTCAATGTATCAAACCCCAAGCGAACACCGGCTTTCGCGCATAATTTTTTCTTCTATTGTGTCTCTTATTACCACGACTGAAACTTGAAACATTCAAAAAGAATGATTTATAAACCGATCCTAGACTTTATCCAAAGTTATCGCATTCACGACTACATCCAAAATACAAAGCGATAAAAGAGACACTTAACAATAAAATGCTGATCGGTACGTGCAAAAACTACACGAGCAAAATTCGCTAGCTACAGCTTAAAAATAGATATCCATTGAGCAAAATTACGTTCTACCTTTTTATCTCATAACCTTATTCAGTAAGATAAATATGAACGAATAAATGAATGGAGTGAATGATGAAGCTATTCACGGAATTCCTATCTGAGTTGATTAATGCTGAGAGATGCAATCTATGTCTGATGGGGTGAATCAAAGGGAAGACCAGAACACGCCCTAATGAAATAGAACCTAATTAAACTAAAATACTAAACTAGCTTTGTACATTATCCCGTATATTAATTGCTTCATTTAACTTTTTGTAACTACTACTCGTATAGCTTAGCGTAATTAAAGTACCTCTGGGAAAAATTTGAACGAATGAAAATCACTTTAAAGTAAAAAATGACATGAAACCGTACATATTAAGACTACTCCGCTAACGAAACAAACTTTCAGTTTAATTTCGCTTTCACAAATCAAAAACCCAAGCCTTTGAACTCGAGGAACACGTTAAAATAAAAATTCAACGTTGAAAAATATTTCGACAAATTCGAACGTCAAAACTTCGTGCAGATGTGAAAATAAAAATGGTACACAAAATAGAAAAGGTTTATGAAATAACAATATCTATCATGGCTGCGGATCTAGTGACACGTGTTGGAAACGGCCAGGAACTGCCTCAGGCACGAACAACATTCACAGTGTATAAATCCCTATTGATTAATGCTGTGAAACATTTCAGGCTGGCTTTGTTCATGTTTCGAGGCTTTCATCGTTTTGTGAACGCACAGTTCTGTATTGATAGCGGTTAATGGGACTTAATCCTGTTAGGCTTTAATGGTGCAATGTTCATCATTTGTGTACAATGCTATCTGTGAATGTTCTAGGAATACGATTTTATTATATGATGTTGGAAACGAAAAAGATATCAAAGTAGCTGCTCGAGACAATTTCAATACAATAATCTTAACCTGTATAAAAAAAAAGCGCCATATTTGATAATAAAATTTGAAGATTCGTACAAATAACAATTCTAACTACGAAATAATAAAGATGAATATGAAAATCGACAGTTGGATACACAAAGACAATTCTACAATGGAGAAACAGAAGATAGAATTGAATGATTTTGGCGATGCGGCATAAGTAACTCATACTTACAGTCTTGTTTTTCTATAATCCAGAGATTAGCATGGAAAAGTTGAAAGATAACATTAAATAAGTGCACACAGACAAGAGACAGGGTGAGAAACATGAAAGTGAAAATGGACACAAAATAGGTGAAGATGAAGAACAGTTAGTTTCAACCGAAAAGGAGAAATTGTGCAATGTAGTCAGTAACTAGTAACCATATACAACAACCAGTAAAATTAATAAATTGTTAATCTTTGCAAAAGGAGGTATCATGAGTATTTTAACTGTCTTAAATATATTGTGTACGATACGGCACGTAATTTTATTTTCAGTAGCAATATGATACTAAACGGTACCTATTTTTGGGAAAAATTAAGTAGATTGCCTCCTTTTCTTTACCATAGGTTTATAAAATTTTGCGAGGTAAATGCAATAACAGAGTGGTTTTTGTCAGTAAGAGTCTGACATTACCTCTCAACCAGCCTAGGTCGACGCGAATTTTTGATATCTCCCTCCCCCTCAAAAAAGGGCTTGTAAAGTTCGCAAAATATTTCCACAAATTGTCACCATTATAATTATGAAGGACAAGACATCTGCGACAATAGCGTTCAGTTAGGCTGGATGGATGACATTTCAGAAATTCATAGTGAAACTGCGACGCTGCATGAGTATAAAACGTTTGGATCATTTCAAGAACCTCTTTCAGAACGAAAGCCTCCGATCGTTTCTCATATGACTCGTTCTACGTTTACCTCATACAAAGCCTTCAGATATGGGTCACATGGAGGTAATATTTCCCGATTTCTCTCGACATTTTCTATCCCTGAACGTTTTATTTTGCAATGTGATATTCAACAGGCACCGATCATGTGAGACCTTCGAAGAAAATATCAAAGGTGGACTGTATAAATGAGAAAACGAGAATCTAATGTTTTATGCAGAGGTTGAGACAAATACAAGATTACTTTGTTACACGGTGGCAGCTAACTAAAAGTTTAGATATGAAAAAAGAGAAAGGAAAAGGATTAGAATACACGCATTCAGCAAAATAGTCCTTAAAAAATATAAATTTTGAGATTCTTTCCTAAAAAAATATTCCAAGCCTTCCTAAGCATTACGGAAGACTAAAACCACAGTCCACAAATATCTAACCGGAAGCAAATCCCGCAACCACATGCAAGTCCCAAGATACGTGTAATCCGGTCGATTGATCCGGATATCCGGCCCGCACCCAACTCGGATGGGGAGTAATGAGATTCTATTCTAAGCGCTTGGTGTGATATTCATTAAATTGGGACGTTAGTAAAATAATGGAACACAAAATTGGTCCACGTTTAAAGGAAAATTAAACAATTTATTATATTTTTCAAATATATAATGCGATAAGTCTAAATAAGAAAAATACACTCTTTTTAAATTAAATTTGAACAATGTTAGTAGGGACAGTTCGTAGTAGTTCGCTACGTGTCTACGGAGCGACTACGAATTGGCTACACAGTGGCTACGCAATGTCTACGGGACTGCTACGCATTGGTTACACACCATCTTTTGACTACATAATTTCACGTCACGTTTCAGTGACCAAAAAGTGTTATTTTACTGAGATTAAATTATACAAAAACTTTGCTATTTTCTTTGTA